CATGTTACTCTTTTACTAGCTATTTTTCTGATTCCTTCCTCTGACAAGAAACAGAGGGTGCAGAATATAGCTCTATTATTTGGCACTGCTTTGTGGGTAACATACTATTAATTTCTTGTATACATACTTCAATGGTTTTTTGCCAAGGTTTTTAGAAACTAGTTAAACCTTTTTTTTTAAAGAAAAAAAAAGTCCCTAAATATCTTTGATTAAATACTAGTAGTGGCAATGACTTGGCCACAGAAAAAGCAAGTGGCAAAACTATGGAGGCAAGTATGACATTTTTTTTATCCCCTTTGCAGACCATTAATGACCCATCTGACCTCCTCCACTATACTATCATTGCAATCTTCACACCTCTAACTTTTATCATTATTTGAGGTAAAGTTTACAGAACAAATTGCTTTCCATTCAAGTATTAACACACATTTTTATTTATTACATTAATTGCAATATTCACAATATAATCTGTGTTCTCACTTCTTCTCTGTCATTCTTATTTCCATTAATCCTTCTTTCCTATCCCTTCATGCCTCAGACCTTTATTGCTGTGCAAATGCTGCCTTTTTAATTTGATGACAGTGAAGAAATTGAGATTATTAACAGCTTCAGTTTGCTTGGCTTCACAATCAACACTCTTGGTACCAGCAGCCAGGAAATAAAAAAATGAAATGCATTGGGAAGTCTGCTGTCAGGGACCTCTCCAGAGTACTGAAAAGCAATGATATCAGTCTGGAGACTAAGGTGCACCTGACACAAGCCATGGTCTTTGCAATTACTTGTTATGCATCAAAAAGATGGACAATAACTAGGGATGATAGAAGAACTGATGCCTTTGTTCTGTGGTGCTGGGGAAGAGTATTGAATATACCATGGACTGCTAGGAGAACAAACAGGTTCATCCTGGAGAGGGTTAAATCAAGCTGCTCCTTGGAGGCAAGGATTCTGAAGCTTTGTCTGACACACTTTGGGCACATTATAAGGAGGGTACAAACTGTGGCTGACTCTGAGAAGAATGGGAATCCCAGAACATTTAATCGTGCTAATGTGAAACCTATACTTGGACCAAGAGGCAGTCGTCAGAACAGAGCAGGGCAACACTGCATGGTTCAAAATTGGGAAGGGTGTACGTCAGGGATGTGTCCTATCTCCATACCTTTTCAACCTGTATGCAGAACAGATTATCTGAGAGGCTGGGCTCTATGAGGAGAAATGTGGGGTCAAGATTGGTGGACGATCTATCAACAATCTGTGTTATGCAGATGACACAACCCTGCTCGCTGAAACTGAGGAGGACCTCATGCACTTACTGCAGAGGGTCAAGGACTGCAGCCTTCAATATGGACTGAAGCTCAATGACAAGAAGACAAAAATTCTCACCAGTGAATCAATTGGTAGCATCAGGATGGATGGCGAAGAGATTGAGATTGTTCATAGCTTCAGTTTGCTTGGCTCCACGGTCAACACTCTTGGCACCAATAGTCAGGAAATAAAAAAACAAAATGCATTGGGAAGTCTGCTGTCAGGGACCTCTCCAGAGTACTGAAAAGCAATGATATCAGTCTGGAGACTAAGGTGCACCTGACACAAGCCATGGTCTTTGCAATTACTTGTTATGCATCAAAAAGATGGACAATAACTAGGGATGATAGAAGAACTGATGCCTTTGTTCTGTGGTGCTGGGGAAGAGTATTGAATGTACCATGGACTGCTAGGAGAACAAACAGGTTCATCCTAGAGAGGATTAAACCAGGCTGCTCCTTGGAGGCAAGGATTCTTGGGCTTTGCCTGACATACTTTGGACATGTTGTAAGGAGAGACAGTTCTTTAGAGAGGGGCATCATGCTGGGTAGAGTGGAGGGACAGCGCAGGAGGGGAAGACCCTCTATGAGGTGGATTGATTCAGTGACTGGGGTAATCGGGATGGGTGTGTCAGAGGCAATGAGATTGGCACAGGATAGAGCACGGTTTAGGGCTGTTGTACATAGGGTCGCTATGAGTCGCAAATGACTTGACACCACATAACAACAACAACAACTCCTTGGAGAGGGATGGCATGCTTGGGAAGGCGGAGGGACAGCCCAAGAAAGGAAGACCCTGGATGAGATGGATTTACTCAGTGACAGGGGTAATTGGGGTAGGTGTGTTAGAGACTGTATGGTTGGCTCAGGATAGAGCAGGGTACAGAGCTGCTGTAGCAATCCACTGGTCAGCATATAACAACAACAGTTGAATGTTCTTAGGAGTGAATACCTCCTGGTGTTACTGTTAATACTATGTTAATTGTTGTCATTATGTGCTTTGAGTCAGATCCATTCATAGTTAATCCTGTAGTGGGTTTCCTGAGGTTGTAAATCACTCAGAAGGAGATACCCATCATTCTCCTGTGGAACAGCTGGTGATTGGCAGCACAAGGTCTCTCTGTTGTTCCAGTGAAAACTGAGCCACAGGGATTCACATGCCTATTTACATTTTATGTGTGGTAGGTAGTTCTATGGCTTAGTGGTAAGCAGCTGCATTGCCAATCCAAAGGTAAGCAATTCAAATCCACCAGCTTCTCCATGGGAGAAAATGGACAATCTCTTCCTGTGGGATTTACAGCCTTTAAAAACCAGCTGGAGGGTTAACTATGAGTCTATTCCAAATTCACAGCACATAACAACTTGATCTCTCTTGAGTTCAATTCTTTGATTTAACAGTTTAGCAGACTGATGCTTCTCCCTCCCAACTGAGAAATTAAGTGATTTGCCCAAGGCCACATATAAATTAGCCTATAAACATTGAGCCATATTCTCCTACTTTCACACTGAAACCCTTCCCATGTCTCCCATCAGCCTGTTAATGATACTGCCACTAGCTTTTTTTTAAAGCTAAGGATAGCCTCACATGGTCCAAAGCAATGAGAAACTGTCCTGATTCTCATCCAGATCATTCACTGAACCACAGAGTTCTCATTCTCAGGCAGATTTCATCTGTGCTTTGGCTAACTCTCTGAGAAGCACAAATCAGATCTGCTGTATATTGGCAGAACCTTGGCTTAGAACAGATTTCAAATGCCTCCCATTGAGAACTGGCAGCCTTGGGAAAACACCGCCAGGAAATTATTCCAGGAGGTCCAATTGGTCTCTGACACTTTAAAAGAAGAAGCTGATGGCTTTCCTTCCTAAGATCTTTCCTCTTGTGCCCAGAACAAATGACTGCATGTCCCTTTATATGTCCCAAATTAGAAGAAGGCAAACATAGCTGTGATGAGAATCTAGTGAATGTCTTTACTGGGCAGGGCCTCCGCACAGCACAGTGAAGATTTTGCCAAGTTCTTTCTCCAGTTTTCAAACCCTTGTGTATTCCAAGAGAAATGTAGTCCATGTGTTTTTCATTCATTTACACTTAAATCATTAAAATGTTGTTTTCTGAGAGTTATTTGATGTCTGAGGAGTCTGTGAGTCTTCTTAATAGGACTTTTAAAGGATTTTTTTTTTCTTTTCACCCTGCTTGAAGCAGAGAGCAACACTTGGCCAAGATAGTGCATGAGGTCAAACATACTCTCTCATCTCTTATGGTCACATCCACATTATCGACCTCAGCCTCATAGCAATGACTGGCTTGGCAAGGCTGACATCTGAAATGTTAAAACAGAGAAAATAAAGCAAAGAGGATTTCAAGGAGATTCAAGCCACTGTGACCCCAAAAATGTGCCAAGATGAGTTATATGAGGATGGCGGATGCATGCATCTGTCCTTTTGGTTAGAGCGGGTGGGAGCCGTTTTTCGTATACTCCACTGAACAGCTGAACAGGCACTCAGCAGCCACAGTCTCAATGAAATGGCATAGCGACTCGTGTTTTCCAGATGAGGGAACAAAATATGAGATATTAAGTATTGTGCCGAAAGTTTTCAGCTAGCTTGTGTAGAAAGAAACAATTACAGTAGAAAATAAGTAGAAAGGAAATGAAAGATTTCTGACACTGAGTCTAAAATTCTTCTCAAGTATTCCTTATATGGAGTATGATTATTGAGAAGGTGTGTGTGTGTGTGTGTGTGTGTGTGTGTGTGTGTGTGTGTGTTGGAAATGTCATGCATGTTAAAATGCATATTTGAGAAGCAGTGTAACATAGAAGTAAGAACTCTGTCTTCCTTGGTTCAAAGACTTACTCCACCACTTTCCAGCTGTGTTACCTTGAGTAAGTTACTTAACCTCTCTGGACAGTTTCCTCATCCGTAAAACAGGAATAGTGTTATTAAACACCTGCATAAAGTATAAAGAGAACTTAGGGAGTTCATATGGTAAAGTGCACAGAAAGTCCCTGACACATTGTGCTCAGTAAACGTTAGTTCTTTGTCCTAATGGCAGCAGGAAATAACAATAAATAACGAGGTAGTGCTGGCAAGTTGTATAACCTTTCTCCAAGTTAGTTTCCTCATATGTTAAGATAACAATAAGACACTCCGATTTGAAATCTATTTTTAACACTCTCGCATGCCGCTCCTTATTCAATTTTGGTTGCTGTTGGTAGTGGGTCATTTTCTCACTACTTAGCTTAGATCTACTGTTGCATTCCTCCGCAGATCACGTGGCATGGATACAGGTCTAGGTTTTTCTACACCTTCAGGGCACGCATGACTTTCCTGTTAGGACAGATCCTCTCTGGGCTGGAGGAGACCTCTGAGCACGAGGAGCTGGTGAATAGCACTGCAAGTGTTACTGTGGAGTGTGAAAGAACTAGTCGAGAACAGGACTTTATGCTTTCTCACATCCCAAGTCTGCCTCTCTGTTCACAGGAAAACCTGTGGTTGCCTGTTTGCAGGCAGTCAAAGGCTTTGGGATTTGAATTATTTTTTATCCCTATATGGATGTTAGAAATGCCTTCTTAGTTGCTTGTTTCTGTTTAATTGTTCTTTTGCTGGTGTCCTAAAGAAGAAAAGGAAATTATAGTCATCTGGCAAGGGAGAGTAAAGAGAAATTAGACTCTCTCCCCCTCTAGCTCCTAAATACACACACATACACACATAGATACAAATACCAATGCGAGCCTCTCAGTTTATTTTCTCCCTAGGTCTGAAGCCAGCCAGCACACGGGATAAAGGAAGGAACTGGAGGAGCAAATCTTTGAAGGGAGAAGACAGATTCCATTCTGTCAGGTTCCTCTGAGTGTGTGTACAAGCCAGTCAGAGAAGAGAGAGAGGAGAGAGGAAAAGCCAGAGGGAGAGAGGGGGAGAGGGGATCTGTTGCAGGCAGGGGAAGGCGTGACCTGAATGGAGAATGCCAGCCAATTCCAGAGACACACAGGGACCTCAGAACAAAGATAAGGCATCGCTGACAGCACACCGGCACGAGCTCGCGGCCAAGTCTGGCAGTGGGGACAGAGGCCAGCCGGCCAGGAACAGCCAAGGCAGGAAGATGAGGTGAGTGACAGGGTGGGGCAAGGCAGGGGTCCCCTTTCAGGGACCAGGTGTCAAGTGACCCGAGGGCGCCTGACCTTGTGTTTGGGTAGACTCACCTCTGCGTTCTGTGGGGGGTGGTGCAAGGGTTTCTCCTAAATCCCTAGGGCTCTAAGAAGAGAGATTTGGTCTGGGTGTCTTCTGTGGGACTCCGGAGGCACGCAACTTGAACCAGGAGACTACAAATTCTGCCCTAAGCTTCTGAGACTCAGGTTTCACTCGGCCAGTACAGGGTGCTGCCTGCTGGTGGATGGGGAGTCCCCGCCTGGCCCACAGAGCTGATTTTCTGCTTTCCTTCTCTGCAAAGGGCATGGATTGCCCTCTCCCAACACTTTGCGAGTGAAATGTGTGTTTGTATGTTGATTTGTGCTGACCGGAAAAGAAACTGGCTTCCCACAGCTTGGCTCTGTGGTGTCTTAAACCTTCAGAAGTTTGCCAGTTAAAACCTCAATTTAGAAAACTAAAACCTGTCCCCATTTTACAGTTCCTTATAAATTTCTTCATTTCTCTCTGAAATCAGAGGCAGCTGGTGGCATGAATCAGGATATGAATTGCACCAAATAGCTCTTAAAGGGACACCACAAATGGTTTTGGGGGTTTGGGAGTTGTTTTTTGCTTTTTTTTAAAACAAACAAAAAAATCTTTGGTATTCTGACATTGAGGACTTAAAATGTTTAAATGCTTTTAAGCTCTTCAATCTTTCCTACTCTTAAACTTGTATTTAGATCCATCATCTGACCAGGCAGTTCTTAAAAGTTTTCTGCTGAGTCTCAAAACCTAATCACCCCATTTACTTTTATGAGTTACAAGTGCTAATGTTCTTTAAAAAGAAAAAGAGAAAGAAAGAAAAACACTTTGCAGATGTGCTATATCCCTAAACATCTCATTTCCTATTACTTCTCTGGTTCTGAGAACATTTCTATTTGTTTCTCTTCTGCAAAGTCAACTAGCAATTTTGCTAGGTATGGTGGAAATGAGGGGTTCCAAGCTCCAGGAACTCTTTGAACTCAGATTACCTATGGTTCTGAGAGATGGTAAAGTCTTTAGGTTAATCACTCATTCTGTTTTTGTTAATTCCATTGTCATTTTAATCCTATTGCCAGGCTTCATTGTCCTTTCTCTTAAAGTAGGTGGGATTTATGCCCGTCTACATGGAATGATATTCTCACTGACCTTTGCCTACCTGTCTTCCATCCAGATCCCTCCTTCTCCCCCTGTCCTGGCCACGCTAAGCCACAGGGCTGATGAGGACAGTTCTGTATCTTTGCAGGTGCTCATCTTCAGCCTAGAATATCTTTCCCCTTTATTTTTCACAAAGAGGTCCGCATTGTTTACGCCAGTTTGAACATCATCTCCTCTTCCCTGGCTCCCATCACCAGGGCAAGCAACCCCTCTTTTGTGCTGTCACTGTCTTTGGAATTAGCTCTTATTGTCATTATAATATCTAGTTGCTTAAAAGTCTATCTCCTCTTGCAAGAATGAGAATTTGAGGTACAGGATATATGGCTTATTTACCTTTGTATGCCCATCCCCTAACATAATGTCTGCTTCCCATTGTTCTTATCGGGTACCTCCAACTCATCCTGACCCTATGACTGAAACCATGTGTCATCCTCACAATCTCTGCTGTGCTTCCGCACGCTATTGCAGTCACAGGGTCAGATCATCTCACTGAGGGTCTTCCTCTCTTTTACTTATTGTCTGGGAACGATGCTTACAATTACTATTGCTATTGCTGTTCTAAGCATGATGCTTCAACAACAAATTGAATTGAATGAAGTCAGACACTGGAAAGCAATACAATGCTTTAAAAGCGCACCACTAGAAAAGTGGGATGGTCTTGCCTCACATAGACAGCCTAGATAGAGCATTGTGGAGTTTGTAAAGGACTTCTATGGACATGTATCCATTTGCTCATCATGTTTCAGATTAAAGATTTATGAATAAGTGAAAGTAAAAGCAGTTAAGCAAATTACTCAAAGCCCCACTGAGAATCGTGAGTAGATCTACACTCAAACTTGGGCCTTAGAACTCTGAATTCAGGACTTTTTCACTACTGTCTCTCACCAGATTGTCAACCAAGCCTATTATTCTGCATCATTTAATCCTATTTCTTCTGAATCCAGTGGGATTCAATCCTGACTTCTTATTAAAAATCCCCTTGGTGCTTTTTAAAAATACTGATTCTTGAGCCTCAACAAAAGACAATTAATTCGGATTCTCTTGGGGAGGGGTTCTGGCATTAGCATTTTTAATATCTTCACATACACATGTGAGCTTGATTAATTGTTTTTCACAAAATTAACTCTTTTGGTCCGATGCCTGAGTATTAGGTAGGCATGAACCCAGTGTCCGTGAGCTTTTGTCATTTCCTTCTGTTGAAGCTAACTCACCATATGATATCTGGTGTAAGCCTTCTCTCGGGGTATTATCTTCTTATCTGCCAAATAAGGGTGCTGCCTCAGAGATCTAGCCAGACCTTTTTGGTGCTAATACTCAAAATCTTTGAATCTTCATATTGTGCAAGTTGAAATAAGGAGAATGAATGAAGAGCATGAGATATACCACAATCATAGATATATTTAGGCATTTTTTTATGTGTTCCTAGTAGCCTGTTCTTACAGAAGAGCTTATAAAAGCCCATCTTTATATATTGCTTTTGACATTTCAAGCAAATGTAGCTAAACTTTTTTTTGATTAGTTGGAGGGTAGATAGCAGGTGTTGGGAATTGTACAGCCGGTGTCTGGTGCATAAGAAGCCAAAAACATTGAGTGAGTGTGAGGGGGGGAATGAAAGCTGCCATTTACATTCTTCAATTTGCAGCCTAGAGAGCGAAAGCAAGCAAGCATATGCTCGAGCCCATAATCTGCATGTGGTTATTTGTTTCAAATGTTTAAACTGGTTTTGAGATGCAAACGAAATAGAACAGAAAGCTGCCCAGGCCTTCCTCCCACGCTGACCAGTTGTCTGCCATACAAGGCACTGGGGGCGCTGTCAGTTACCAGCCCTCAACAGGACCAGTTAGAGGAGGCTTCCTGTCTCCTCAACGTGGTCTGGAAAAAAGCAGGCATGGAGAAAGTTGACCTTTCAGCCTTGCATAATCTGAGTGCCTCTATTGCAGTGAAGTCGAGTTTAGAAGCCAAAACTCATTCCCAACCCCTGCTTTTCGGGAAGCTGCGTGATGGAGTAATCATCACCAATGTTTGCCTAGGACAGAACAATTAACAAAGGGTTTTCCATTCCTCCTTCACACTGACGGCAGTCTTGTGGGAAGACACTATTTTCACCCCTTCATGGATGAGGAAATACACGAGACCTTGGGTGACTTTTCCAAGGTAGATCAGATAAATAATGCAAAACTGGACTTAGGGCCAGCTCATCTGACCTATGACCAGTGCTCTCTCTGTCCTCCAGGCTACACTGAGTCACAAGCAACAACCATCTTTTAACGCCTGCCCTTTTCTTCCTTTGAAAGACAGGTAGTTGCTTGGTCCTGGAATATTAGTTTCTTAGACTCAGCTCTCCTGGATGAGCTGGACCTATGCTTTCCAATCTTTCTGACTTTGAGACTTCCCAGGTTAACATTAAAAAAAAAAAAGATATTGACATTGGCTTTTGGACTAAGACATTTTGTTTTCTTAAAAGCATCTCATTGTGTTGCCATTGGAAGGGGCCTTGAAAAAATTTTTAAATAATATACTCTTTTTATTGAAATAATAATAATAAAAAGGCTTTTAAAATTTTTGACATTTCATATACACAAAATAAGATAAACACTCATAATTTCTAATGGTTGTTGTGGTTGTTGTTACGTGCCATCAAATCACCTGCAACTCATAGCAACGCTCTGTACAACAGTCCTAAACTCGACTCTATCCTTTGCCAATCTTATGATCTCTGACACACCTACTCCCATGACCCCAGTCACTGAATCAATCCATCTCACTGAGAGTCTTCCTCTCTTGCGCTGTCCCTCCATCCTCCCAAGCATGACGTCCTCTGGTAGTCATTATTAATGATTTAGTATATCTCTTTCTCATACTTGGAAAAGAAAAGGGTCAATGAAAGAGAAAAAACCCTCAACCAGGTGGATTGACACATGATGACTGCTGCAATGGGATCTAGTATGTCAGGACGTGTGAAGAGATGGCCCAGGATAGGACAGGGCTCAGAACTGTTGCTCATGGGGTCGCTATGGGTCATGTACTCAGGTCGATGGCACCTAACAACAACAGCTCTCATTCAAAAACAGTTTGAAGTCCTGCTGATTAAGTAGTTAGCTGCTCATCAAAACGCTAGTGGTTCAAACGCATGTGTTGGACTCATAGGAGTAAGACCTAGTGAGCTGCTCCTATAAAGATTTAGTTGAGAAAATTCTATAGGCGAAAATGCAGAGTACAATTTCAAATTCTTAAAGAATCTAGAATTTCTAGAGCCATATTTCTTGTTATATGCCATCGAGTCAAAGATGACTCATAGAAACCCTACCCTGGGCCATTCACATAATCTCTACCATGTTCAAGTCCATTGTTGCAACCACTGTATCAAACCATCTTGTTGAAGGTCTTCCTGTTTTTATTGACCTTCTGCTTTACCAGACATGATGGATGTCTTCTCCAAGGATTGGCTCCTGCTAATAACAGGTTCAAAGTAAGCGGGTTAGAAGCAAGGATGGTGAAATTCAAATTAAAGTTATTCTTTTGGTAGTCCATAGACTGTAAAGGGAGTTCTAGTGACTTGGTGATGAGGAATCGTGCTGTCAATACAAAAGTATGTGGTTTGAATCCACCAGTCACTCCACAGGAGAAAGATGAGCAATCTCTCCCACGTGATTTACTGCCTCCGAAAATCCACTGGATGGTCAGCTATGGCTCAGTTCTGATTTGATGTCATATTTAATACTCTTCATCAGCACCACAGTTCACAGACATCAGTTCTTCTTTGTTCTTTCTTACTGATTAGC